TTAAAACGGTGCAAAATTTTTAATTATTTTTTTTTGAAAAAAAAAATCAATCATATAGAAAATAAGCATTTATTTCTCTGTCATTCTGGCCCTGGATCCAATTTCTTGTCATTCTGACCTGCATCAAATTAATCAGTATTTTTAAAAAATATATGTAAAATAAGCAATTGTTATATACCTATTTCTTTTTCTTTGTCGTTCTGGCCCTGGGAATTAGTAAATTCCAAAAATATTGTATGCGAAAAATATTGTATGTGAAAAAAAATATATATACCTATTTCCTCTTTTGAAATGTAGTACCTTAAAATTTTTTCACACTTATACTAAGCAATAACTGTTAAAAGAATAACGAGTATAGCTTTTAGATATAAACGTCTTTATGCATTTTATGATAATGCAATAACCCTATTCTGAATTATTTAAATAGACTGAATGAATAATAATTTGAATTAACAAAATGTCTTCCAAAAAATTCAAAGAAACTAAAACTATACTTACCAATAAACAAAGAAAAGATATAATTAAGCACAAAGAAAAAAACCCTCAAATTAGTCAAGCTGATCTCGTCAGTTGGGTAAAGCAAACAATGGGTCTAATGGTTCATCAAACTACCATTAGCCGTTTAATAAAGAATAAAGAAGAAATTAGAAAAAATCCTGTAGCAAAAAGACAAAAAACAGTTCAACACCCAGTACTTGAAAATATGTTGATTGAATGGATTCTACAAAGCCAAGAAAGAATAATCATATCTGATGAAATTATAGTCGAAAAAGCAAAAAGTTTTGCTAAATCATTAAACATACCTGAAGACAATCTCAAGTTCTCACACGATTGGCTTTATAAGTTTAAACAAAGACACGGATTAAAAAGAATAACAAAACACAGAGAAGATGCTTCTGTAGATGAAGAAGTTATCAGAACAGCTATTCCTGATCTAAGAGAAACCCTAAAAAATTACAATTTGAAGGATATATATAACATGGATGAGACTGGACTGTTTTATCGGTACTGTATAAATAAATAATATTGTGGGTACTACAGGTTACCAACCGATTTACTTGTAATACACAAGTAAATCGGTTAGTAACCTATAGTATTCCTTGTATGCTAATTAATACTTAGCTAAAATTTTTTTTTTCTAGTCTAGAGCCAGACACTACGCTTGCAACTGTTCGTCTTAAAGGAAAAAAAATTAATAAAGAACGGCTAACATTGGCACTTTGTGCCAATGCTGACGGGACAGATAAAATGATGCCATTTGTTATTGGTAAGTCGGTCAATCCACATTGCTTCAAATCTATTAATCGCCGCAGCCTTCATGTTATGTACGATTCAAGTCAAAAAGCATAGATGACAGTTTTGTTGTTCCAAAAATGGCTTAAGAAATTTGATTTGAAAATGGCTGGTCGCAACGTAATTCTCCTAATGGATAATGCAAAAGTTCACTCTGTTGGTAATTTAAGACTTCGTAATACAACCATTAAATTCTTTCCTCCATATACAACATCTCGCCTACAACCTATGGATGCTGGTGTCATTATGTCCTTCAAACGCCACTACCGAAGTTACTTTATAAAGTGGCTTCTTGATCAGTATGAGTCCGAAAAAGATAATAAAATGGATGTTCTTACCGCTATAAAATTCATTGTTCGAGGATGGAGAGAAGTGTCATCAGAAACCATAAAAAATTGCTTTCGACACACAGGAATTCTTCCATTAGTTCAAGATAATAATGAAGAACCTACCACTTATAATAATGATGATGATATAATGGAAGAGTTGTATAATAACATCGAATTGCTAAATTTACAAAATGTAATGGATCTTGAAGACTATATAGATTATTCAGAAGAAAGAATCGTAACAGGAATAATGAGCGACCAGGAAATTTTAAACCAAGCCACATATCAGGAACCTCAACAGGTTGAAAGTGATGAGGAAGATGATAGTGTAGAAACGCCCCAAATTACTCATAAGGAAGCATTAGATGCTATTCATCGGTTGGAGTTATATCTTATGCAACAAGACCTTAATTATGTAGTTCAAACAGAAAACGACGTAGCCCTGTCAAAATTGTATGAGTTAGTAAGAAAGATCCGGAATGCTTCATTTAAACAACTAAACATAGAAACCTTCTTTGAACCAGTTGGTAATGTACGTACATAACAATAAGGCTAATGAAATTAAACTTTATCTAACGATATTTCCTTATCTCTAAATAAATAATTAGGATGACCAACAAAACGATGATAATTACTCATTTGAGTAGTCAAGTAAAAAAAAAAAACTTATCTTTTTATATAACAATATAAAATTGTTCAATTTATATTCGAAACGTAAGTATAAAAAAAAAAAAAAAAAAAAATTTAAATGTTTAATCTAAAAAGTTAGACATGCGTATTCAAATTAGAGTTAGATTTTGGCTTCGTTACAATAAATGAAGTAATACTATAATTAAACGAGAAATATAAATTCACAAACTTGTAAAACAAAGAGCGAAAGTTCATATGATAAAAAAAAATTTTAAAAGTTCACGGTAGAGCACATGTACGTACGTACATATGTACGAACGTACAATATCAGATAATAGTCATTTCACGTGATTATATATTTGCTGTATTTCTATTGGTTATTCTCTAAATGCAACCCTCCCTAAATGCATACTTTGAAGCTGGTCCCGAGGGTATGCATTTAGAGAGGTCTGACTGTATATTAAATTTTAATATTTTTTTTTTGATAAAAAGCATTTTTGATTATTAAATTTTGCATTATTAGTTTTAAAAAATAAATATAAATTTATTTATAAAAAATATTTTAAATATTTTATAAAATAAATAGGCAATATAAAAAATAAGTTTAATAAATAATTAGTATTATTAATTTTTTAATATATTTACATAATAATTAATAGAGTTTGGCAAAGTTTGCTTATTTATTTTATAAAATATTTAATATTTTAGTTTAGAAAATTATTATATATTACTAGTGGTAATTATTACTACTCATAAAGTAAAGTACAATTTAGAGATTTTTTTATATATAATATAATAAAGATTAAAAGCAAGATTCCGATTTTAGCTTTTGTAAAGTTTTTAAAGGTTTTGAATATTTTTTCTTAGAGTACCTAATCCCGTTTACTTAGTATATAAATGCTTTGTATAATTAGTAAAATGAAGTATTTTAATAAGCTTAAATATGCTAATAAAATAATTAGTTACTAGACATAAAAGTATTGAAGCAATTTAATTACAGATATACTGTATAATAATTAATTATTAATACAGTGTTATGATTTATTGAGTTTTTTTTATTTTAAGTAAAAACACTAGTCTAGTTTAGTTTACATAATAAACAAGGTTTTTTAAAAAATTTTAATGTTTTTTTACCCCACTTTCAAAAGTTGCCGTTAAAGTAACACTGTAATAAACAGTAACATAGATTGTTCATTCGATATACTGTACACTGTTAGTATATATAACACAAAGTAAAAAAAAAAAAAAAAATACCCGTAGTTGCTTTTCATTTGTAACATCCCTCAATGAGAAACAAAAAGATAGATGCTGGATATTACAAAATACATCCTCTATTTAAAAATCGCATCTAATTTATTTATATTGCGTCATTTTAAATTTATTTGCCCATCGCATAATTCTGGACACCCTAACCCGGGTTCAGGGACGATAATTTTATGCAAATCACATAATAACACGCAGGGGCGTTATTTAGAATAATGGCCTGAATTAAGCTTAATTTAGGCCAAAATTCAAAATTACACTCCTGCGCGTTATTTCGCGCTTATACGGTAACAGGTTTTGCCGCATAATGTTGCATAAAATATGGTTCTTTTGAGTCATTATCGTATAATTGGTTCTAAGTACTTGTTCCGAAAGGCTCCGAATAGAAAATCAATCAACACAAATTACGAACTATTTCGAAAGACGGCTTTCATACTAAGTTATAAAACTGCGCATTTTATGTGCAAGACTACAAAATACTCGCATAATATTAAGAAAAATATATGATTTACTTTTGTTGCATGGTTTATTGCAGCATAAAATCATCGTCCCTGCCCGGGTTAAACGGGTCACCCGATAGACTCGGGGGACCCGAGTCACGTTTTCTTAAACGGGTCCAATCACTACTCCTAAAATGCTTGCCTGCTATAGATCGTAATCGAGCGTTGGTCTTTAGCAGATTAGGCTCGCTGAATGATTCATGCAATGATGACAATGTTTTATTTATTCTCGCTTTTGCTGGTATCCAAGCTGTAGAAGTACTAGATTCCAATTTTGCAGGTATTAAGTTGACAACTGATCTTTCTTGAACTGATTTTTCTTGAACGGGTGTTTCTTGAACGGGTTTATTATCTAATTTTTCTTCATTTTCTGATTCTAAATTAATAGTTGTTGGAATTACTTCCAGTTCCGGTTCGGACTCCTTAACGTCTTCTATGTCCGGATTAGATTGTTCCTGTTGTTCCTGAGCTCCATCCTCCTCATCTTTGATATCACCTTCGTAAATTCCCCCTTTACCAAAACTTACAAAGAAAGGCGTGTCATCCATATTTGGTAAGACTATAGAGTCCATTATCATTTCATGAATTTTGGATTCTATAGCGTTAATAATTGGAGAGAATTTTAACTGCGTTGCCGAAACAATAGGTTCTATTAGTAAATCCAATTTTGGCATTTCATAAAAACCAAACCATATTCGGTTCGTTGGTGGAGCTTTAATACGTAACAACAATTTTCCTGTCAATCCTCTCAATACAACAGCTAGAACCAATGGAACCTTTATCGTTTTAAGTCGTGTTACTGTAATAATTGCTTCTGTTTCTATTTCTGCGCGAAATCCACCATTATAATTAACGTTAAGTTCCACGCTTAAATCACCGTTCTGTGCTAAATCTATTAATTTGGGATTTGTAATGTAAGGAATTCCATCCCCAACGTCTACAGACTTGATGTGGATGTCGCTTAAAAAAGTTGGTTTTTTTACTTTCTTAACTTTTTTTTTCAATTTTTTTATAAAATGTTCTTTGACTACCTCAGTTTTATATACTGAAAGAAAAATACGACCCAATATAACGTTCAACCATTGAGTTTTATCATCATTGGATTGAAGCGTCTTTAAAAGATTATCCAACGACGATTGATCGAATTGTGTCTTATCCCTCACAACTTGTGGTTGAGGTCCTGGAGAATTCGATTCTAGTCTTGAGGATCTCTGCAAAGCAAAAAACCAATCTTCTTTATCCACCCCAATACTACAGGAAATATAATAACTTGAAGTATCCATATCTAATTCCATGTCTGCGAATATTGATTTTTTAGTTGAGAGTTTTATGGAAGTTTTCTTCAAAAAAATTTCATTGTCAGGTAAATTTTCCGGATACATTGATACATCGTAATTAGAAACGATAATAATACCCTTACAATCTAATTGTCCCTCGCTATCATACATGAAAAGAGTGTTATGCTTTAGTACCACGAAAAATGAATCTTTATGACGTTTTAATTGTGGATTTTTTCCATCCATGAAAGTTTGTATTCCCATTTTCATTATATTACCAAGCGTCGATCCGTTTGATGCAGTTGGAGATTCATAAAATTTTGTAACACGTAGCCAACCAACTTTGTGAAAGTTTGTATCATCCTTTGAGCATGATTTATCATTCTTATTGGATTGTTTTATTTCTTCAGGAACTGCGTCGAATATTGTCTCGCTCTTTTGTTTGGAAACCCATGGTCGATATGCAACCAGAAAAACAAGCGTGATTACTAGCGGAACAAAAGTGAGTCCACCAATTAAATATACTAATAAAAATGTTCCTAGTGATGTCATTTCCCCGTTGAATATATGAATTTGAAAGTTCAGAACGACTTTCCAAGTAAAACTGTACTAGATAAATAAATTGATCTACGAGAAAGAGCTTCTGATTAGTGGTCTAAAGCGAAAATTTTATATAATACTTGTAAGAACAGTGTAAGTCAATATTTTAAAAGAGAGAGAATAATATTTTTTAACGACACTTGTAATTGTTTCATATGGCGATTCCAAACACAGTCTGGCCTTGAAAAAAACAGGATCATTCTAACCACTAGAATAAGAACGATTAACTGGTCATTGTGCAGTACGTGCAGTTACGTTGCACAACATACATAAATTTTGATACGGTTAATATTGGTATACCAGATAACCAGTATTTTTTTTGGCAACGATTATTCCAATACTACATATCTGATATAGCGATTTATTTTATGAATTTTTATTTCTTGGCTACCATAGAACAATGTGGTTTACCCCGCGATTAATTGGTTTTAATCTTGTTTTATTGTCAATTAGGTATTTAAATTGATAATGGTTATTATATCCTCAAAGTACATTTTTGTTTACCCTCTTTTTTTTGAATTATTTTAGTCTCTTGATTCTACCAACAACGTCTTCTGATCTCTTTGAAGTTGAAGGAAGATTTGCTTTAAATAATGTTTTAAAAGGTTATCATTTTTGTAATTATTTCTTTCATGGTTAAAATTATTTTACTTATTTTTTTATTTTTAATTCAACACAATAAATAGACATATCACAACTTGAACCAACAACCAAAGTTGTATTAGATGGAGGAAAATATTCGACTTTTATTCGCAAAGACGGAAAGTTTGTAATGTAAGATTATTATATATTTGTCATTAAGAAATAGAATACTTAAATCAACAAATAATGAAAACGTTGCACTTTGATCTCTTTAAAATAGAGATAATGTCCCACCGGGATCATATCTTTTTGAAGTATTGTCAAGAAAGTACATATATCCTAGGGTATAAAAATTTGGAACAGTCTTTATGATTTTTTTTTTATCCAATAGAAATTATTTTTGACCAAAGTGTATAAATACTTAGTTGAAAATTGTCGTTGAATCGGATGGTGAAGTTCTACCTTCTGTAACAATCATAGGCAGTGAATGGGACAACAAAGGACCTTCGCTACCATATCCATTAGAACTATATGCAAGAGCTCCGGCTGATTATTTCATAGTGCGTAATATAAATATTTTAATATATGAATTGATAGAATTTTACATCGTTATTGACTAATTTTTTATTATATCTTTAAGCCCCGAGAAGGATTTAGCATCACCAGTTTGCTTTTTAATCCGTATATCATTTTTATGGGCTTCAGTGTAATATTATTATTGGTTATGCCGAAGATGATGGCGAATTTAGGTATAAATTATATATAGGATTATCATTATTATTATATGTTTTATTACATTCCTTTTAATGTAATATATTCAACTTTGTAGATCAAACAGCACTTCAGGAACTTCAACAAAATCAAGCACAGAATCCTTTTGACTTCGATTTATCTTCCTCGCTAGCGAAATACTTATCAGGTGGAAACGAAGCTGACAAAAGTTCTAATAATAAAAGAAATTGAGTTGTAATTTACTGGCCTATAAATTTTATAATGCTTGCAAAAATAATTCTTGATCTATGTTATTTTATCTTTCTAAGTGTACAGTAGGCACCGAAAGTAAAAATAAAATTATTATGACTAATTAATGTTCCACAAAAATGGATTCAAACTGAATCAACAGGTGATCGTTTGATAAATCCTGCCGAATCGATAAGTTTACAGTCATCGAAATTTATCATCATCGATCAATCTTTTTTAGTTGTCGCAGGGCTTATGAAAATAGCCGTGAAGTTTCGACAGTAAAGAAGAATTTTAAACGACTCCATTTTGTGGAACACTATAATACAGGCAGTGTCGTTCCTGGACATGAACATGGACTGTCAATGGACATTGAGAGGCTATAGAGAGTCCATGTCCATGTTCATGGACGTGGACTGTCTATGTCCACATGTCCATGGACATAGTCCAGGAACAACACTGAGGCCGTTCTCAAGCGCCTACCTCGATGGATTTACAGAACGATCTGATTGGTTGAAAAAATTGATCGTGATTATCAC